CGGACCGGGGACCGGCAACGGGATTGCAACCCTCGGCGTTGCTCCCGCGCCTCGCTCAGCCGGTGAGCAGGAACCAGTCTGTATGTGGGATCCGAACCCTTGGGCGGGAGCGCCGCCGTGCTTCCCAAGCNAGGAACCAGTTTGTATGTGGGATCCGAACCCTTGGGCGGGAGCGCCGCCGTGCTTCCCAAGCGGCGCACTATCCAGTGCACCACCGGGCCGGCCCTCTGCTCCTCTTTATAAAGCCACCGGTACCATTCCTGTGATAACCCATTAATTCACTATTAACCAAATAATACATGAGTGGATAATTCCATTCATGAGGGCAGAAGCCTTATGACTCAGTCACCTCCTGAAGGTGCTATCTCTTAATACTTGTTACATTGAGGATTAAGTTTCAACTTGAGTTTCAGAGAGGACAAACATTCAAACCATAGCATAGCACAGTGGTTGTTTGAGGAGAAATGCCCTGTTGGCAGCTGGGGTTCCAGGACTAGAGTTTGGAGCTCTCAGGATGGAGTAGAAGTGAATGAATTGGCAGCCTGGGGTGGGGAGAGGGATAAGGGAGGGGCCCTTGGGGACATTTCAGAGGATCCCAGCCAGAAATCCATCTCCTCTGGCCCCGGCCCCATGGAGAAGTCCCCCAGCAAAGGAGTAAGCTCTCTTGTCCTGGACGGCAAGAGTGATAGATGTCAGAGCAGAAAGCAGGCTCCTGTCCCTTCATGGTAAGAGAGGAAGGTGACTCGCCAAGTCTCTATTTTTTCTAGCTCTGACCATCTCATTCTGCTCTGTGACACTCTGAGGTTCTGGCCTATGAAATTCTCAAAGTGATTTTCTTTGTTCTTTCTTTGACCAGAGACCACCTGGGAACGTCCCAGCAGTTGTCCTGGGATTCCAGCCAGCCCTGGCCCTCACAGGAGCTCTCTGCCTCCAGCAGGTACGTCCACTCACCACCTCGGGGCAGCTGGGAGGGCCACACCTCTACTTTCATTGGAAGGGCTCAGACTCTGTGTCCCAAGGCCGGACACCTGGCTTGGGATCTTAGGGACCTAACCCAGGGAGAGGATGGGCCTTGGAGGTTGATGTCTCCCTGGCAGTGTCAGCAACAGCTCTGGTGGCCTCATACTGTCTCCCTCTCGGGAGGGGTGGGAGGAGGAAATGGCTGGGTGGGTTGAAACACCACAGCTCTTTCTGTCTGCTACAGCGGGAACAGAACTGCTCCCCGTGGCCCTTGTAGGCATCAGGGAGTAGAAGCTAAAGGGAGGCAGATTTTTACAAGGTAACTTTCAAACAGGATGTCTGGAAAAGAAATGGGATTCTTTGTGAGGGTGTGAGTTCTCCAGCTGCAAAGGTGATCGAGCAGAGGCAGCTGGGGTAGACATCCCTACAGTAGGTGGGAGGTTTGTCCAGACGGTCTTGGGAGAGACCCAGGTCTGAGATTCTGGGAGGCAGCTTGCAGGACCCTGGAGTAGAGAGAACGGTGTCTGTTTCTTGGGCTTAGGCTTTGTAAAATATCACCTCCTCCAGGAAGCCTTCCCTGATCACTCAGTTCAGAGCCCTCACCCAGTCACTCCAGATCCCAGCACGTGCTGTTTTATTGTCCTCAAAGTTCTCCTTCCTGTTGATTGTCGCTCTCCCATGCCACACTGTAAGCTCCCTGAGGGTAGAGACTTTGTCTCTCTTTTCCGTTCATGGAATCCTCAATGCCCCAAACAGATCCTGGCTTTGATGTTGAGTGAATTCACCAGTGTTACCCTTGTCATATGGTGTGTAGACCAGCCTCGGGTGCGGCATGAAAGTCATGGGAATTTAAACATGTATAGCTCTGAGAATGTGACAGATGGCTGTGGCTGGACGGAGGTGGGGAGGCCAGCAGGAGAGGAGGGGCTGAAGCAGTGGTGACATTTCCTCGGGAGGCGGCGAGTGCTGCGTTCTCAGACCAGGTCCCCAGAGATGGGCCCATTCAGCCTTCGTTACTGCCACGTGACGGTAGGCGATTCCAAGGGCCCTGCCTTCCCTTTTGTTGATGTTCTTGTGTTGTTGTTTAAACAATAGAAAAGCCATGTTAATAATGCGAGTGTGGCCCTATTTCCTGGCTGGCTCCAGGCCAGTTGGACACTACAAAGAAGAGCTAGTGTCTTTTCTGGCCAGAGTGGTCCCTGCAGGTGGCCAGGACATCCTTGTAGGCAGAGGGAGGGTTGGGCAAGTGGGACGACAGGTGTGATGGAGGTGTGTTCTGCCAGGCTGACGGAGCTGGTCAGGGCTTGCCCTTTGACTCACTGGGGCCACCTCTCCATGGTCACTTCTCCATGGAATCCTAGGCCCATCAGGTGCTATGTGAGGAAGGGTTTTGTAGTAGGATGACAGGTGTGATGGAGGTGTGTTCTGCCAGGCTGACGGAGCTGGTCAGGGCTTGCCCTTTGACTCACTGGGGCCACCTCTCGATGGTCACTTCTCCATGGAATCCTAGGCCCATCAGGTGCTATGTGAGGAAGGGTTTTGTAGTCCAGTGCAGTGGGGAACCCTGCCTATTCCAGTCCCTTTTGGAGACCCATCTGTACATGTCACCATTCTGAAGGCTCCAAGAAGGCCTGAAGTAAAGACACCTAGGTAACTTATAGGTTGAGCCTCTTTAACGTAAAGCGCTTTTGCCCTGTTTGTTTGCAACACACCTCATACCTGTTAAGCTTCCTCACTCTCAACTCTCGGGTGATTTTTGCCTACCCAGGGACATTTGGCAATATCTGGAGACATTTTTCACTGTCACCATTAGGAGGAGGTACTGTAGGCCCCTACAGATGGTCCTGACTGAGGTGGTCGACTTACAATTTTTCAACTTTATGAGGTGTGAAAGCCATACACATTCAGTCGAAAACTGTGCTTCGAGTGCCTGTACCACCACTCTGTGTTTCACTTTCAGTACATTATTCAAAGAATTACATGAGACATTCAACCCTTTATTATAAAATGGGCTTTGTGTTAGAGGATTTTGCCCAACTGGAGGCTAATGTGAGTGTTCGAGCACATGTAAGGTAGGCGAGGCTAGGCTGTGATGTTCGGTAGGTTTAGGTGTATTACATGCATTTTCGACACAGAATATTTTCAACTCATGATGGGTTTATCAGGACATAACCCCATCGTAAGTCGAGAAGCATCTGTACTGGTAGAGGCGAGGGATGCTGCTAAACGTTCCACAACGTGCAGGATGGGCCCCCACAACAAAGAATCATCTGGCCCTAAATGTCAGTGGTGCCGAGGTTGAGAAACTCTGCTCTAGGGTGGCTCAGAACATCAGTTCGTCTCTGCTCAAGGGTTCTGGACCATGGCCCATTGAAGCAAAAAGCAGTAACACCCTATGTCATTGATTATAAGACCCACCTTTTGATTTTTCCCCCATATTTTAATATTTGGAAATCAGATGCATCCCACATTCAATGGTATATCCTAGCTTAATTGGAAGCATTTTTCTTCTTCCTTAGTGGTCCTTAAAATAAAGATACCTTTAACAATCAATGGCATCTTGGACTTGTGAAATGACAGCTTGTTAAACTGGGGCCTTGGGCATGTGGCTTCTCCCTGCCAGGCCTCACTTTCCCCATTCATAAGTTGAGGGCCTGCCCAGCCTCCGTGCTTTGTGATTTGCGACACTTTCAGGAGACACTTTCAGCTTTCAGGAGATTTTTACTGTGGGGAGAGAAATAGACTCAGTGAGGGCACAAGGTTACTTCACAATCCAGTCGTCCCCTCCCCAGGCTCCTGGGGTTGTTGACTCCTCTTCCTGAGACCACTCAGTTCCCAGATCTCAGTCCCTTTTCTTCTGTACATGCTTCTATGAAAGCCTCAGCAATGGAGTTTTAGACCTTCTCAGTCAAAAATCCATCAGATGCTGTTCTCGGTACTCGGGGTGTAGCCACAGACAAGACAGACACAGGTGGGTTCTACTCCCAGGGAGCCTCTGTTCTAGTTGGGGAGTTAGACAAACTAGCAGACACAAATATGTCAGATACAGCCTGCATGTTCTAAGGCAAGGAATGACAGTGTGACAGAGAGTGTCCCTGGGGAGTCAGGGGAGGCCGCAGCAAGGGAATGATGTTTAGATCAAGCTTTAACCAGAACAAGCAGATAGATGGGTGGGGAGGTGGTTTCAGGCCAGGCTAGTGCAAAGCCCCCAAGGCAGCAATAACCTTGGCACAGTTGAGAGCAGGAAGTGGGCCAGCGTGTCTGGAGGGTGGGATGTGCTGGAGAATGGTCGGAATGAGGTAGGGGAGTGGCCAGGGGCGGAGCCTGCCAGCCCCATAAGCCAGGGGAGGGTGCTGGGATTTCATTCAGAGCGTGCTGGTTGGGGTGGAGGGTAAACAGACTGAATGCAGGCAGCACTTGGCTCTGTCTAGACTGCATTCCGTTAGCAGTGATGGGGGAGTTACCTGCAGAGTGGGCGGGGGGTGAGGGCAGTATGGAAAGCCCAAGCACATTTCTTGACCATAAACATCTCCTGTGGGCGCTCCTGAAGAAGGACATGGAAAAACAGGAAGAATGCCGGCGGGGGGACTACAAGTTAACTTAGCCAAACCGTGCATAGGCAGCCTCTCCTTCATGGGGACGAGGGGTGAAGGAAGCCACAGGGCCCAGCTTTACTTGCGTGTCATAGCTTTGCGAGCTTCCAGAGAGGGTTTGAAGGGCCACCCACACGTCGGGACTGGTTCATTCTTAGTGCAGGTTTGGTGGATGCCGGTTAAGTGCAGCCAGCCAGCTTACCAGCGGGGGAGAGAGATCTAGAAACACGCCCAGATCCCCCCACAAATTAGATTCCACTCTTTGAATGTTAGGTGCTACTTAGTAGAATTTCTGTGTAGGCTTTACTCGGTTTCCCCTGTTAGTGTCTTACATAACTGCAGTACATTTGTCAAAACTACGAAATTTACATTGTATATTACTGTTAAGTAAACATTAGACTTTATTTGGATTTCAGGAGTTTTTCCACTAATGCCCTTTTTTATTCTAGGATCGAATCCTGGAAACCACATTACACTTAGATTTCACTTAAATTGATTTGTTTATGGTTAAATAGTCACCGGTGGCTAGTGGCTGCTGCATGCACAGTGCGGTGTGGTGGAGACCGAATTCCTTTCTGAACCTCTGGGCCTGGGGCATGCACTGAGCGTGTGTTTGTGTTTTTCTGAAGGATAGAGGAAATCTGTTATTTATTGGGGTTGCCCAGGTAGGGGGTGTGTTTCAGGAAACTTGGGCTCAGGGGCTGCCTTTGCCAGTTTCAGGCTGAGTTCACCTAGGGATCATCCTTAGGCTTCCAGCAGCCCCAGGGAAGCCCAGGGCCCAGTCAAAGGGAAGTGAACAAGTGCCCTTGCAGAGGCTGAAGATCAGGGAGCTCCAGCCTTTGAGCCTGAGGAGCCAGCCAGAAGCGTGTGCAGATAGACAGTTGTGCAAACCCAGGCCCTTGCCCACATCTTCTTCCCTAGATCAGGAGGCCCTGTGCACATCTCCTCTCCTGTACCGCACCCTCCCTCATGGCAGAATTAGCAAGTTGCTAGTTCCAGAGCCGCTTCCACACCCTAAACTAGACTGCACATTGACTTCAAGGAAGGCCCTGACATTCTCTGTTGGGAGGAAGCTCATATGATCTTTTAGAACCAGTGTTCTTGTCAGCTGAGGCTACGGGGACTTTACAAAGGCCAGTTTAACCTTTGATGCCCCCGTAGAGTAGCCATAGATTTTCAATCATTCACAGCCACGTGGGCAAATGTATTATCAGTCCCATCTTTGGGAGCACAGTTTACATCTTAGACAACCAGGGGAAACAGTTAGGACCAGGTGGCCAGACAGAAATTTCTGGAACAGAGGCAATTAGTATAAAGC